GCCTGCTGCCTTATGCTAGCGTACGCTACATCAATATCTATACTTTTCCTAATCGCTGCGCATCGCATAACGCAAAGGTGATGAACGCAGCCGCAATCACCTGAGTCTCGCATTAGGCCTTACCCTTGATTAGAAGTGACGTGTAGAGAAGCGCTACGGAGTGGTCTCTTCTCCATCCAACTAACTACGTTACCGTTCTTCTAAATAATGAAAGAATGAAGTGTCTTTAACAACTTCGGCCTCGGCTGAAACTCGGTTATTAGGTTCATTTAGTCCATTTACATTAGCCGCGCGGCGCGTGACCCCAACATTTCGATTGGATGCATATCTTCGGGTGAACAAGAAAGCTGGAAGCGTGATCTCACCCTGAATGCTTCTCATCAGCCAGAAACACCACCGGAGAACAAGTTCCGTATCGGGATGAAACTGATGATAGCTGATCCGAGAGGTATGTCAGATTTTCGGATCGCTTATTTTTGACGCTGACGTTTTCAATGATGTAAATGTACAGGCAGCTTTGTTTTTTTCCCAGTTACAATTTTTCAATCATGATTGATTACTTTTATTTTACCCTGTGCTTGTGCTGCCTGCTGCTGCTTTCCCGATAGCATGTGATGGATATAAAATATACTACTAACAAGAGTCAGTTGGGAGTGTGGGGTCTGAAATATTTTTCTTTCAGTGCTCAAAAGCTTTTTTAATACTTCAAGGCATAGTTCCCGTAGGGGTAGCGGGCCATACCGGGGAAGCAGGACCCAGATCGCTGAGGAAGGTGCTAAGCACCGAGATATTGAAAAGAAGAAATATTATTGCGCAAAACGTTCTCAGAAGAAGTTCTTCATGTCCGGGTTACTTGGAAAGTGGGCACCAGTGCTCAAATAAGCACTGTTTTGGGTGCCGCATTTTTTGCGGCGGTATTCTCTATTCACCCCCCTCCCCCAGTAGAATCGCCTTCCCCAACGTCCTTGACGCTTATCGACACATGTTTTCATGTTCCCTACCCTGCTTGATGGCCAGTTACAGCTTCATCCATTTGGCAGGATAGGTAACATGAAAACGGGCGATACGCTATGAGGTAGTTTAGAGATCGATTTTGTTATAAAGTCAGGCTGAATAAGGATTTTTACTATTCATTTGGGCCCTGATCCGCATGTTCCAAGAAATAAGAACATGAAGCTTACTGCAAGCCATGCTGCCAGAGCTACTCAGTTGTTTAGTAAGGCTGCGTTCATACTTTTTGTCGGCGTTTTGAGCGTTCCAAATCTTTGAAGCGTTCTAAGCGAAAAGGCATCTATAGGTGTCAATCTAGTGTTTCGAGCGTTTTGAGCGAAATGCTTGAAACATTCAGGGCACTGGATCGATATCTATACTTTCCTTTTCACCAAAATGCTCAAAACGCTAGACGATACCTATATTTTCCTTTTCGCCCAAAGCGCTCAGAACGCTAGGAAGGACGGCGATAAGTACGAACGCAGCCTCAAGCTTTTTAGGATGCTCTCCTGCGATATTTTTAAAACTCAATCCCTTTAATGGCGCCAACTTTCTGTTTTTCTCTGCGCCCTCACGTCTTCATGGCGTTCTGTGACCGCTCTGACCTTTCACTTTCCAACTTTTCACGCATAGTAAGTGGCTAATCCACCCCGGTGTCCTCTGTCCTTGGAGAAAATCATCTCCTGGCTTGCCATCTATTTCATGAATTCTTTAATTCTTTGTTGATTGAAAACACTATATTATTAAAGTCGGATTTTTTAGAAAGTATATCAAACGCACTAGCGTGAGTTCACTCAGTGCTGCGAATTTACTCTTTCATTGAATAAAAGAGTGAAGTCTAAGGAAATTGAAATGGAGGAGTAGCTTTGTCACTATTTGGAGGGGGGGATGTGGAGAGTCCTTGTGAGTTAGTTTGAAATACTTTGCATATTATTATGCAACCGTCTGTGGAAATGAGCTAATTATTTCAAGCCTGACAAAGGTGCTGCAAAGAAAAATACTGCCGGAAAGGGTTCTGAAGAGCTTCCAGGTTTTTTTGAATCTTTTGAGCTTCTTGAAATGAAGCTTTCAAACGATCTCTCACTTCTTTTACCTGACATGCCTTTTTTCTTAACACATTGACGACAGCGTGAGACACATTGAATGCACGCGTTGTAGGCCATGTGGGACAGCGTGCATACTATACAACTCACGATCAACAAATCCATATCTTTCAACAGTGCATGGTTTTTTAGTTAGTTTCTCTTAATCATTGTATAGTTCAGACCAACGCTCGTCAGCCTGGGTACTCGTACTAATGGCGTAGGGTCCAATGGAAACAATTCAGTCAGCACTAAGTTTATAGGCAAAATACTTTTTGGGTAAAGATCACCATTTGCTCGGACTGATTTGCTCTTCAACACTGGAATGGTTTGCTCTCCACACTTAGCTGAGAAATGCTGATCGGATGCATGTTGATACATGGTAAAAATTATAGGGTGAAGATTCGACGCTATGAGGGCGCGACACCTTTTTTTTTATGAACATGTGGTTCGCGGACGAAGATATCCTGGCATCGTAGTGCAACGAGAGTTTAAAGGCCAGCCAGGTTTTGTTCTATATCTGAATATTACCGTTATTCATAACGCGCTCTAATCCAGTTTTTTCCGATCCAAATTTCCAATAAAGCGCCATTCCTGATCGGTCCTGAACTATGTGTGTACCGCGCTGGTTGCGTTCGAGAAAACGCGCGTGTCCCACGCGGCCAAAAAGTAAAAACGCGCATGTCGTCAACGTGTTAATCCAGTTGATTTCATTGACCGTACTTTGTGGGGTATAAGGCGCTACAGAAACGCCGCGAATTTTTTTCAGGCTTTTCTTTTGCCAGATTCCCATTTGCTCTTATCGAATGATACATTTTGAACAATAAATGTTTCAAAAATAACTGGAAGACTAGGATATGCGAAAATTGACGAAAAAGGAAGCTGTTTTTATGTTTGCGAAAATTTTCGTGATCATGCACCCCCCCCCCACTTACCCAGGAATTGAGGTAATTCATCTTTGGCAAAAGGGTCACAACATCAAAAATCAGCGGTTTCACATGAGTGTCACAAATTATCTGATTTAGTTCAAGTAGTACAATGTAATTTTGACAAATGCGTTAAGGCATCAAAAATCGATGAGTCTATAGCAATGTGCGATAGATTCACCGATTTGTGATGCCTTGACGCTTTCGTTAGAATTACTGAGACTGCCAGTGTCTGACCGTAATGAACTGGTTCCAATTTTTGAGCTATTTTTTCAACAAAAACGTCAAGGCATCGAGAATCAAGTCTTGTGGTTAGACGAATTCGTCGATTTTTGATGCCTCAGCACCTCTGCTGAAAATTAACCACCCATACTAAATTATAATTTGTTTATCATTGTCAGAGGGATTTGCTGATCTATACGAGAGCTATAGATGAGCAAATATATATGAAAACGCTTAAACAGATGACTGAGGCGCAGTTCGGCATGATGGGGGCACCGACCGGTACTCAGCTCAGGTATCTTATGTAGACGTGTAAACTCTGGTGACCTAAAAAGCTCACTGGCTCCATTCTGCAACTCCACTGGAGTTCAAAGATTTTATCACCAAAGTGACTGACTTTTAGCTAACATGATCTGAATGTCCCTCCCATGCCGAACAGCGCCGATGATTGGTTTCAGTCTTTCCTAGAGACACCATTATTATTTGATCAGCTATGAGACCTAATATCCATATGTTATTGCCCTTGTATTTCGTAAGCATATTAATCAATGTATTTTTTGACCTTAAAACCTTGCGGGAGGCGAGGGGGGGGTGTAGAATATTCGAGAGACTCCGTGGAAACTTGAATAACCGCAAAGGAAATTAAGACTTTCGCCTGGGAATTGAACGGAAGCTTCGGATGACGTAAACTCACTCTTTCGAGGGAAGCTCTTCAAATGCTCCCCCTCCCCTCCAAAGTCATCAGCGTGTAGTTTCTCGTTTTAGAGACATATGATTCCTTGTTTCAAAAAGATGTCTGGAGTAGAAATGTTTGGTTCTGTAGCAGCTCATCTGTCATTGACAAGAGTACCAATGCATCGAAAATCAGCGACAATTCAAAGAACTTTTGCAATCTTCTGCTCCAATTTGAGTCTATTGAATAGAATTCCTGGCAGTTTTTGCATATTCGTTCATGTGAAGGGAAGGGATTCGTCAGAAGAAATGAATATATTTGTTCTTTTTTTCGTCGGTTATTGGACAAAGGCTTAGGCTAGATTTTATTGCATTTTTGATTATGCGAGAGCGAAAATGACGGGTACTGCCAGAACTGTACAAGATGGCCTCGATTCTGGAGGGAATGAACCTGTGCGGGAAAGACCTATGTGAAGGTGGTCGTGGCATCCTCAGGAATTTCGCCTCAACATCTTTGTCTGATCGATCTTTGAGAGAACAGATTTATCTGATTATTAACCGCCCCTTCTTTTATTTAGAAATTAAACGGCAGTTATTGTGTCTGAACTTTCCTTTCCATAAAAAGGGCAGGCTTGTGCTTAATTTGACTGCATTTAGGATCTTGAGAGAATTAAAGTAGCAAGTTCCATAGTAGTTATACATTAAGGCCATAAATCTCGCAGGATCAATCATTATACCTGAAGAAGTTTAATGATTCGTTAGATTATTGGTTCAATCATCAATCTGTTTACTTTCTCTTCCACAAGGGGCACTGTATTTTTGGAAGGGGCACGCTACAAAACTAGGGCAACTATTGTAGTTTCTCACCGAAACAAGCATACCTTTCTTCTCCTGGCCTAGAGAAGCGCGAACGGTCGCCGCGGACTGATGTCGCTGTGTAGTCCCTTCCAACTAGGTTAGCGCCCTAAAAAGCTCATATTCCTACTGGGAAGGTAGTTAGGGGTTTATTTATGTCTTGGTTCTGTTGTGTATTAGCTAGTGAAGGAGGCAAGTGAAGCTCATCTTAGCACCATATGAAACTGATTAAGGACCCACTGGTTCGAGTGCGATGTTTTGTCTTGGCACTGTGGTGAACGTCTACAAATTATGGTTATGTGTACGGCTTGAAGGTTTGGACAACTCGCACGAAAAATGGATTTTCTGTGATGATGACTCTATCCAGCCTATCGGGTAAGTTAACATCACTTCGCTAATGTTGGGAAACTCTCATCTTTTCAGCTGTTTCGGAGCTGGGTAAATTGATGAATTCCTTTTTAAGCACTCTCTTCTTTGATTTGGGTGTGCACGGCCTATTTCTATTCCGTTCACAATTCAACGGCTAATACTTCGCGGTCTAATCACTTCAATTCCACGGTTGATGGATCGCGCGATCGGATCGCTAAGAACGCGTCCAGACTCAGAGCGCTTTCATACTTCACGATCGCGCGATCGCGAAGTCTGAACGCGTTCTAATTATGAACCCGCTCTCGCTTTATAATAGCTATTGATTTCATGTGTTGCTAATCGATGTCTGTTTATCCCAAAAAGTGGGATGTGGGCGCAGTTTGGCGACGGGGGGGGGACATTTTGCACTTTCGTTGCTTCACTAGTTCTGGTTTACAAGTCTCACTCTGGTGAAACCTGTGAACTCTTGTGAAGCTGGAGCAAGTTCGTCTAGACTTGCAAAATGAGCCCCCCCCCGTCGCCAAACAGCGCCTGGGATGTGTGTAGATAGTCCAACAGGTATTAGTTTTTTTGACTTCCGCTCTTCCCTCACGATTGAACATTACTTCGTTTGAATCAGTTTCTTCGTTTGGAGCTGCTTCATTAAAGAAGGCCATTTTGGTGCAGAGCACTCCAGATATTTGAAGCCGCGACACTTTTTTTTGCACCACGAGTTCACCTCCACACACACCTACACACCGGGGCTCCTTCCTCTCTCAATCCTGAGCAATAAGCGCCGCCTTCACGATTCGCAATCGTTTTTAGCAATTTAAGGTTATGCCTAATTGAATAGCGCGCTTTATTCACTAATTTGTTTGTTATTCATTCTGATTCAATGAGGATCTTAAGGCCTACAGTGGAGGATCACATGAAGCTGAATCCACCAATTGGCTTCATCCATCATCATGGCACTTTCCCGAAGTTCCTCGAACAGCATTTGAAGCCTGACGATGAGACAGGTGCATCAGTACTTTGTCCGCCTGAATGGTTCAGACCGGTGAGTAGTTTGTTTTTTGGGTGTTTCACTTTAAACGATCGTAACTTTTTTAATACTCATCGGATTTAAATAGGCACCATTCAGCACACTTTTGCCAATGTGACAGCAGTCGAGAAATCCCATCAAAGTAAAAAACTGGGTGGTCGAAAATTCACGAAATCCACTAAGGCTTTTTTGCCTGGTCCTGATTGATGAAG